CCTCTTCGAGCCCCCTGGAGGTTGTGAGCTGGTCCCGTATCGTGCTATCGGAGCTTTCGTGAATCTTGGAGGGCAGCAGCCCGTTGCGGTGGTCAGCTGCTACCTCCACGACTGCCAGGGTCTCTCGGATAGCAATCAGTTCATTATGTATAAGATTGGCAGATTCGTTTCCTCCACCCTCAGCGGCGATGCGATCGGAGGCGATTTTAACATGGAACCGCAGGTGTTAGGGGAATCTAAATTTGTTGAAACCCTTGAGGCTCAGCTTGTGACCTCGGGGAGCCCGACGTGTACTTCCACGTCCGAGGCTGGGTCGAAAAACTATGATTACTTTATTGTGTCGAGTGGGTTGTCTAAAGGTGTTCGTTCGGTTGGAGTTGACCGCAGTGCCCCCATGCCCCCTCACCCCCCTGTCACGATCAAGTTCCACTCACAACTGTATGAGCTCAAGGTGTTGGCTTTCAGGAAGCCTCCTCCCTTGCCGTCTGTCGCGCCTGCGGGGCCCTGCCCGTGTCCGCCGAGCTGGGAGACTGAGGAAGTGATGGCCGAGTCTGTCCTTTGTGCTGCGCGTGCGGGGGATAAGGACTCGGGGGTCTCGCTGAATAAGCTCTATCAAGCGTGGGCGAACAAGGCTGAACGCGAGCTGCGCGGGCTGTACCAGAAGACCCTGCCTGGGATGGGGCGTAGAGGGGAGGTTCCTAAGACTTGGTGGGTCGACATTCATAAGCGAGACCACCGTCCGTGTAGACACCCTCAGTTGTTTATCATCAAGTGGCTGGCCCATGCTTTCCGTGCGTGGCGCCAGGACAAGCGCCCTCATAGTTGCGCCTCGGAGCGCGTGGACGACGGCGTCCACGACCCCTCTGACTGGACGACCTCTATTCTCCACCCCTCTAAATTCATTTGCGACCACATCTCCTCTGGCCCCCACGGCCCCTTGCTGTCTGAGGTCCAGTCTGAGATTTCGTTGCTGACCAGGACCCTGTACGAGCTGCAGGCCTACAGGAGCGGCTGGACGCCGCGGTTACGGCTGTCTACACTCTCTCGCGCCAGGAGGGAGAGCAGTCGTGGAAGGAATGGCTTCAAAAGGACTTGGACCAGGGGGCGAGATCGGCCCACCTGTGGACGAGACCTTTTGAAGCTTGGGTTCCATCCTCGACGCTTTCGGCTCTCGGCCAGGTGGTGGCTGACCCTCTTGCGCTGCTTAAGGCAGAAGGAAAGCGTTTCTCGGCGCTCTGGCTTGCCGACTCGAGCGTTGGCGATTTTTCTGAGACATGCGATTTCATTTCCATGGAGCCTTTGTCCAGGATTACTCCCGGGCAGCTTAGGGCTGCCAGTAAAGAATACGCGGGTAGATCGGCTGTTTCGGTGGATGGTTTCCACATGCGTCATTTCAACAGTCTCTGTGACGGGGCCCTCAGAGTGTTGTCTTGCACCCTTGCCGTCTGTGAGGGTACTTCCTCGTTGCCTCTTCAGGTTCGCCTTGTTATGCTGGCCATGCTCCCCAAACCCATGGGGGGGCTCCGTCCTATTGGGATTTTCACCTCTTTATATAGGATATGGGGGAAAATACGTAGACAGTATGCGCTGGAGTGGGAGGAGTCCCACATGAGATCGTTCTTCGGTGGCTACGGTTTCAAGAGCGCCTCCGACGTAGTCTGGCGCCAGACCCTTCGCAGTGAGATGTCTACCAGGCGAGGGGACGTCGCTGCCTCGGTGCTTTGGGATTTGTATAAGTTCTACGAGCTGATCGATCTCGAAGCACTAGCGTCCAGATGTATTGAACAAGATTTTCCTACCGTCATAGCTCAGTTATGTATCAACACCTACAAGGCTATGAGGTTCATCAACATTGCTGGTTATATCGATGGGCCCTACAGGGCCATAAGGGGAGTGATTGTTGGGTGTAGTATGGCTACCACGTTTGTTCGCATATATTGCATTCGCTCGTTCTCTTCCATTCCTATTTACCCATCTACCTCGCTCGACCTTTACATTGACGATATTGGGTTGATTGCCACAGGTAAGTGCAAAGATGCGTTGCGAGGTTTGAAGCACGGCTCGTCTGCAGTATTTAAGGCAGTGGTGGACGAGCTGCATTGTGAAGTTGCTCCCGACAAAGCGGGGGTCATTGCCAGTTGCCCCAAGCTTGGAAGATGTTTGCAGGAGTGGCTCGGTAAGTTCGCTGGACCAGGTACCAGTAGCACCGCGGTCAATCTTGGGATTGATGACACTGCCGGCAGGACTCGGAGGTATCGAGGTCGGAACCCCAAGCAGCGCCGCCGAGCCAAAGTTTTTCAAACCAGAGTCCGACGTATTGCCCGACAAAAACGTTTCCTGGGAAGGTCCGCTACCAAGTTGTTTGCGTCTGGTCCTTTACCTGGTTTGCTTTACGGGTCCGAGGTCCACGGTGTGAGCGACAGAGAGTTGCAGATCATGCGTGTGGCTGCGGGCAAATGTTTAAGGCCGTCCAGCGGGAGCAGGTCACTCACGGCCGCCTTGGCGATGGAGAACGATCCTTGCTGGTACGGAGTGTGTGCGCCTATCATTCGGTGGAGCAAGGAGGTTTGGGCTGGTCAGTGCCATTCTTTCCTCTACTCCATCCCGATGTCCGAGTTAAACCGCGCATGGTCTCTGGTGTTCGAGGAAGGAGCCAAGATCACCAAATGGTCCGAGGTCTCTGGTCCCGTCTCGGCGCTTTATTTATCGCTCAAGAGGCTTAAATGGACCATGCCCAATTTTGCCACCATCAGAGACCATGACGGAGTTGATATCCTCCTCACCTTCGTCAGCCCCACCCTCCTCAAAGACCTCGCTCGCAAACAGTGCGTTCGTTTGTTAGAGTGCAGCCTTGCCGAGAAGTGGGAGACGGGATGGGTCAGAGTTTGCATGGACATTGTGCGTGCTCAGGCTAGCAGTAAGAAGTATACTGCACTTGGCCAAGGATGCATTCGCAATCTTGCTTGCAACGGAGTTTGGACCGCAGATCGTGCTGCGAGCCTTGGATATGATTTGCCTGAAGAGCGACTTCTTTGCCCACTCTGCGGCATCGAGCGCGATACTATACATCACAGGTTGTGGACCTGCTCTGCCTGCCAGGACGAACGGGAGGAGATCGCCAAGGCCTCAATTCTAGATCAAGCGTTGTCCGATCTGTCTGATGGTGATCGCCTCTTGCTCTGTCGTGGAGTTTTCGAGCACCCGTGCGCTGTCTGGCCTGCTCCGCTCGCGTCGGGAGGGACGGAGATCAGATCGGACGGTTTTCCTGAAGGAGAAGACGGGGACATGGCTGGTAAGCTGTTTTTCGATGGCTCGTGTTTCAGGCACCCGGTTGCGGACCTCTGTAGAGCGGGCTGGGGCGTGAGCAGGGTCGATGATGCAGGTTGCCTCTTGTCGTCTGTCTTCGGCCCTGTGCATGCTCCGCTGCCTCAGAGCGCGCCTGCAGCTGAATTTGTTGCTCTAGGCATGGCCAGCTTGCAGACAGTCGGTCCAGCAGAAGGGCACTCGGACTGTGCTGCGGTAGTCAAGCATTATAAATTGCCAGCCGTGCAGCGTTTCAGTTATAAGCGAAAATATTCTGGTGTGTTTCAGTACGTGAAGAAATGCAACAATCTTTCGAGTGTATCTAAGGTGCGTGCGCACCTAGACCCCGAGGAAGAAGACATTTCGGATGATGAGCGCGTGCGCAGGCGTGGCAACGGCCATGCAGACGCAGCAGCAAAAGCAGGAGCGGCCAAGCACCCTCGCCCTGCGAATGCCGCTGACGAAGCACTCTCTCGAATGATTGTTATTTCCAAGACAGTTTGCCGTCTAGCTGCCACGCTGCTTCCGAGATGGCCGCGCCTCGACCTGTCTGAATGCGTGCTGATCAAAAAGCCTAGGGCTGAAGGAGGCTTGGCCGAGGGCCCTGTGCATCAATGGAACGGGCGTGGCAAGTTTTGGCAGTGCTCTGTATGTTACGTAGGCTCGAGGGCGAAAGATCTCCCCTTGCCTGGACGTTGCTCTGGGATTCAGTCCGCTGTACGCACCAATCTTGATGTTGCAGACCAGCTCGGCCACTGTGTAGTCGTTCTTACTTGCTCAGACGGTGTGGATTGCTACCTGTGCACAGTTTGCGGTGCTTTCCTTCATCGAGGCAGGTTCGAGAAGAGCGGACTTTCATCTGCATGTTTTGGGAGTCTCAAGCGCCACGGGCGCACTAATTACAACAGAGCCCTACGGGGCCGCCACCCGCGAGAGCCTGCTCTCAGGGTGGACCCCCTCTCCTCTGATCCTCCTCTTCCTCCCTCGGTGCGGGGCGGCGGGACGGGGTTGGAGCTGGGGGGGGGTGACACTTACGATGAAGTAGGACAGCTCCGTCTTGCGGATACCGCCTCCCGAAGGGAGGGCAGGGCCGCGGGAGCATCCTCAAGCAGACCTCACTTCTCATCGGGCTCGTCCGATTAGGTCTCTGCTTCTTTTGAGCGACGGCTCTCTGCTGCGGTTCTCTTCGAACTCACGTCCTGGCTGGAAGCGTCTCTCTCCCACGGGGTATTTATGCTTTAAGCCAGGCGTGCAAAGGCAGCACCGTCACTGCAGGAACTCGCCCATCCTGCTTTATTGTTGGG